CAGTGATGATGCGCTTCAAAAACGGATCATTTTCGTGACGTTTGAGAAGCGAATCGCAGACGTCAATGCGGCGACACAGATTTCTCTCTGAGAACATAGGGAACCCATACATCGAGCTTCGAGGATAATCACAGGCCTTTCAAGTGATCATAAACTGTTGAATTTGATAAATTTAAAAATTGCCGGATCGAAATTTAGCGAACCAGTTCTGGCACTGGCGTACTGTCAACACACATTCTCCATACACATCAGTCAATTTCTTTCTGGCTTGAAAAGCATTTTTACCCTTTCTGTAGTAAAACAGTAAGATATGTCGAAAATGCTGCTTAAAAGGGCACCAACCAAAAACTACTGCGTAGAATTAATTGGATTTTTTCACACACAAGCCTTGCTATATGAGCTCTCAAAGCATATAAAAATTATACGGCTTAAATGTGAAGTTGGGTGCAAAAGAATACAATTAAATCCTCTGTCGGGAAAAAACGAAATGACTTTCCGAACAACCCTATATATTTTTACTATCTGGCTACGTATTTTAGGCCTTAATTATTAGGTTCTTTGTTACCCCCGCGGGGGTAATTCCCCCCAGGTTCGGAATCACTGCTCTAGTAGAACGTGGTAACCATAAATGAGGCGATTACAACATGGATAACTCTTTCCACCTCGTCGCAAAAACGACAATAAAAACAGGTGGTTAATCTTGATTTATTCCTGTTTATTTCATTAAACTATAGCGTATACTTACGTCGGGAATTTTTCTGGCCGATTTTTCGAAATCCTTAATTAATTTTCCTCGATCGGTCTCTTTTTTACTCTCTGACTTAATCAATTCCCTTAAATCTATCACTTGAAAACCTACTCGCTCTGACAAAATGCTTGCTTGTATTGACCTACCGCTTCCGTTCGGACCCACCAACCATATAATAGGAACAGGACTTGAATTCAAAGGAGTCATATCATACTCCAACCTTTGTAAATCTGGAACCTTGAAAATGTCACTAAATTAATTTAATTTGATTTCATCGTTTAATTCGTCCAATACGTACTTCTTCGATACATCCCAAAAGATTACCCATTTCTCTTCTTTCAACCTACGAAAGCTGCTATAGTGGTAATAACTAAGAATTTTTATAGCCACTCGTAATATTGTTTCATTTGTCATAAATATGACATTTCCCAGTTTACTTTAATTTCAGTAATTTGCACATAGGTAGGGGAGAGGTGGCATGAAAGGGACATTTTTGTTTCGAGGATCCTAGTAAATAAATGAAATAAAAAATTAAACATTTACGAACAAAATTAGGAAGCTCAGTTATGTCAACTTAAAAGAAAATGTGTTTTGTCCCTTTCATTAATAGAGCGTATTGAAGGGGACACGATGGTTTATGAAAGGGACAATACCCAATAACAAGGAAAATTAGCTTGTACTTTGCGATACACGTACTGATTATTAATCAAGGGAAGGGACAGTTATGAAGGGGACGTCCCTTTCATAACCGTTTGTTTGTGTATTTGGTACACACTACAAAAAGTTTGGAAATTATTAAAAGAAATTTACTTTTGAGCATGAAAAAATTCACAAGCACAATACTCACGTCTGTGAAGAGACAGGACCGTGAATTTTGGTGCAAATTAGTGTGAATCGATGTTATCACACAACAAAAGTATTTCTATCCCTAGAAAATTTGTTATTTGCCCGTAACTTGAGTTGTCCCTTTCAATACGCGTCCCTTTCATGCCACCTCTCCCCTACTTTGTTTATAAATGTTACAGGAAAGTCGATTCTATTTTTAATGACTGTGACTAATTTATTATTGTTTTAAACTTTAAATAAAAAAAAACATCATGAAAATGCCAATCCGATGATTGGTTGGACACGCACATCTACTTTTTCCTATTATTCTGAGCCAATTTTCGCATTTCCTGAAAACTATATCATCCCACATCTACATTCCTAACTATCTGCGAACAGTAATCTAATCTTGGTCTTCCCCTGGTCCCTATTTCCCTATTTCTGCTTCCAATACATACGTTTTTAACTAATCCTACATGTCCCATAAGGCATTCCAACAACATTCCATTAAAAACTCGTTTAAACAGTAAACTAATCAAATTTTGAATCGATGAAGCTTTCAAGTAATGTAACTCCATATTTAAAATAATAAAATAAAAACACTTGAAGTTTACAAATAATTTATTATAACCACTATAATTATTTCGACACACTGTGCCTTCTTCAGGTGGTGAAGATATCTATGTAAACTCCAAGTGTTTTAATTGATAATAATGTCAATTAGGACAAACGACCTATCCCAATACAATCTTAGTTACCAATTTTGATTAGATAGGTTTCTTCTTATTATTAAATTATTATGATTAGAGTTTGTTTTTTCTTTTTTTTTTTTGGTAAAATTAGCCGACACTGTAAGGTACTCGGTGTTATTAACCGGTGCACGTCCGGATTCTAAAGAAAGTGCCGGATTGGTAGTGTACCGGATCCAAACCAGATACCCGACCAATCTTTAGTGGCTAGTAGCCATTAATTTACAACACAAAAAATACCCGCGATCTTTTTTGCGAGCAGCATATCATCAGTTTGTATTAAAGGAAACTTTTCCGTATTGAACAATCAGAAATCATCATTGACACTAAATTTAAATGAATATAAAAATAATCTAGCCACTACACAATCAATCCATATCCTTATTTTTTGTCAAACATTAATGAATATTATCGTAAGGAAGGTAAACAAGTAAAAGTATAGGTATACAAAAAAGTCTTTTATTTCAAAAAGATGCCAGTGGTGTACATTTAAATGTGCGATTAGTATTGATAAACAGAGCATAAAAATTTATTTCTAATAATAGTGTTTTATTCGACATAAAAACACTAATAACGACTATAAAACTGTGTTTGACCTTTAACTGCAGTAATAAGCCGTCCTGTTAAACGTATTTGTCATTTATAACAATAACTACAATATTTTGAAAATAAAAATATAACATCAAATTGCTGAAGATACGTACGTATATTTTTTAATAACAATTTTATTGTCCTTTCTCTTTGGAAGGACTCAAGAATGCAGGTACTGCAAATACTCGTTTTATTTATTATTTAAAATTATTGCTACCAATAATATTATCATTTCTACAATAAATAAGTATATGTATCTAATATTTGATTTTATAATTTATCTAGAATCGCTTCCACATTGGCAAAAATCTCTTCGACAGTTCCTTCTGCTTGTATCTGCAAAAATAAATAATAAATATTCAGTTACAATGTTGATAATATTTTGCAAAAATACAATTCTCGAAACATATTTAAATATGGACACGTAAATCTTGTTAATAAATTTTTAAAACAAATTTTAACGTACCCTTTTTAATTTATCAGGGTATTGGCTAATAACTTCGTTGTTGTTTTCGTTAAACGTTTTTAATCTCGCTTTTATGGTTTCTTCATTATCGTCAGCCCTTCCAGACGTTTCTGCTCGATGCAGTAACCTTTTTGTCAAAGTGTCTTCAGATGCATCGAAAAAAAGAATAACGGTGACAGGGGAAACGTTTTTCTCGAAAAGTGCACCTTGGCTCTTTTCTCTAGGATATCCGTCTATAAGAAAGCCCTTTGAATGAGGCAAATTTTCTAGAATTGCTTCTTTCAAAAGGTCTAACACCACTTCAACAGGTACCAATTCACCTCTTTCCATTATGGCATTGAGTTCTTTTCCTCTGTCTGAGCCGCTATTTACCTATTCAAAAGAGATCAAAAAAGATCATTAAAATGGTTTTTGTGACGAAACAGTTTGACAATATACGATATATACAGTGTCGCAGGAAAATCCCTTCAGGAGTCAAATTCATGCCTCCCGTTACTCATTTCTATCTTAAGTTATTATTAAGAAGATTTGGGTCACCGTTAAACATCGTTTTAAGTCAAGACTGTGGTCTCAACAAAATCCAGACAGTACGGTCATGGCAATCCTTTTATACAATTGCAGAAAATAAAATTTGGGAATCAGAGTAGTTGTTATTGTTATAATAAATTATTGTTTAAACTCCAATCCTATTGCTGAGGGTCTACAATTTCCCTCGAATTGCACAAAAGATTGTGGCATGAATCAAATGTGCAGAAAGGTAGTATTGCCAAGTTCCATAGCGTGTGGTTCTTGTCGGAATCAGTCATGTCTCTATACGTTATCTAATACATAATTAAATTCTTGAAGTAGTTGATGAAAATGAATATATGAAAGAAGAAAATGTCCACGAAGACGAACAATAATCAAGGTCTGGCAACGAATACGATACAATGTCCTAGTTTCCTCAGCCCTATATTTCGAAAACTGTTGGTTCTACGTAAATTTATATCACAAACAAATTTGGTAATAATCAAAGTTAACATAAACCCAATATCTTAGGAGATCTTTGACCGTCTGTAACTTTTGTAGTCGCCCAATTGACTATATCAACTTTTGATAAATTATTTGCAAATTCAAAATAAAGAAAATCTTCAGTTGAATTTTTTAGAAGTTTAAATGACGACAGCATTCGAAGCGTTGCGACGCGCACCGTGTACAAGTTCCGAGGGCCCTCTCGGCGTGAACGTCCACGTCTGTCATTTATTAAAAAAAAAAAAACAAATTAAATCTTAATACCCTATGAATATTAATATTAAAAAGTAATAATTTCGAAAGAAAAATAGATTTCCAGTCTAGGATTTTTATAAAGCTGTTTGAGCAAAATTCAAACTAAAATAGCCCACAATCATATAATCTTTTCTGAGTATCATCTAGCTGAAGGCTACGACGCTATAGTTTTTGGATTTACATCATATCTTTATCTCTTGTAGAATTAAATTTTACGACGTGTTTTGTCCTCGATTAAATGAGACAGAGAAATTCTTCTCTGTTTACGAAACTTGAGCAACGAACTTTAAGACTAGAACTGCAAATTCAGAAACTAAAAATATTTCCATAATTCACTGATTATTCTAAACTTCATTTGAATTACTTATTAAAACGTTCTTCAACAAACTACCTAGCTATACCAACTAAAATCGGTTCATATATTAGAAGTAAAGTTTTAATTTAATTTAAAAACAGTTAAATCACAATGGCAAATGATCAAAGGATCAAAACTTCTGACAAGTGATAGCGAAAACTAAAAACTATTTGTTTGTGGTTGTAGGTATGCAAAATATGCGTTAATTTAAATATATTAAGTCGATACTTAATATCGTTTATAAAATAGACATTTGTTAGTGATTGAAGCAAATTTTCTAGAATGTTGTTTACATTTATTTGTAATTAGTATTAGTAGCACATATTAAAAAATATTTATACTATGTATACCTCTTTGCGAAGTAAATCGCCACTTGAAAGATGAGTGTAACCATATTTTTCGACAATTTTATCACATTGAGTTCCCTTTCCAGAACCTGGACCTCCCAAGACCCAAATAATGGGAACGTTTATCGACACCTAACAAATAAATAATAAATAGTATATAAATATGTTTATATAAAACACAACAAGCACTATTAAGTATTAAAGTCAAATTTTGTAGTCGAATGTGCATACAAATTGGCAGTAAGTTAATGATTTAGGGTAAAATTTTCTTTATTTTTACCATTATCTTACCATGACGATATTATTAAAGTAATAAACAGTAATTGCTAAAGTTAGAACAACAATGAAGTGTGATAAAATAAGATACAAGCTGTGGCATGTGAGCCAAAAAATTCGATGATTAAATAAAGGACCACTGAAACTATACTGCTAGATATTGGTGCTTGATAATTTTGGCAACACCTTTATTAATGTTCAAGTAGTGCGGTTGTTAATGTAGATTATTGGGTGTTCTTGTGTAATAGCGCCCACGTAGAAGTTAAGCGCCAATGCCAAAAGTTAAAAATAAATACGATGAAAATAATGTTAACTAAATTGTAAGAAATTCTCCTTTTATTATTTCAGAATTTTAGATTTTTAAGACAACCAACTGACCACAAATGTCTGAAAATTATAAATTGGTTGTTTCAAAAATTATATATCTACGTTTCTCCAAGAATTTGTTACTCTAAAATTAATTCATAATGTTATTGAATAATTTATAAACACCTTGAAATTTGGATGAACAAAAACAAAATAATGTAGACATAGAAAAAAGAAAAACTGAAAAAAGGTGCTATCTCAGTTTTTTAGCAATAATTAAATCGATAGAATGTTTTATCACATAGGTCTCCATGTAGACTTTATTAATTAAAAAAGAATCGCGTAAAGTTTCTATAATCTTTAAGGTCTAAGGTCTGGGAATCTCTTTATTATCTACCATGATTTTACCGTTGGACCCTACTCCCTAGATCCTAGAATATCATGAACTTGCCAACATCTTTATCTCTTAATTNTCTTAAAAATGAATAAAATACTGATTTTATTCTGAGAAATTGATTTGCAATCGATTTCGAAAAAATACAAAAAAAAATATCAAAGATTTATGGTACATTTAAATAGCTTTATTTAATAATTTATAGGCCAATTCGCGTAAATGCTATAATTTTCAATTTATTTTAACTTTCATTACATTTTTCCAGAAAATTTTTATTTCTAGGGATTGATTTCAGTAGCCTGTGAAATCAATCCATATTTATAGCAAAATTAGTTTAAACAAAAAGATCTTTAAATATTTTATCAATGATCTTAATATAAAAAGACGTCAAAATTAAGAAATGCTATACGAATGGCAATAATTTTAAAATAAAACCATAAACTTAATTATGTTATATAAGCAAGGATACAGTGGGAAGGACAATTGAGTACCTAGTAGAACATAAAATAGGTAACTTTAGATTTGAAATTTCACATTCAATGCCAAAAAGTACTTATGCATAGATATTATTTGAAAACAAATAAAAACCGGTAAATACTGAAATTATTAGACATTTTAAAAGAAAGCAGTTTAAGACAAATTTGAATTTGAAAACAAAAAAGGGAAACAAAATATTGAGAAACCTACGAACCTAAGGCAATAGGGGAATTAAAACATATACATATATACATATAAGTTAGTTTTACAAGTCGAAATATTTAGAGTTATTTAGAGTTAGTTACTCTTGAAGATGCCCTAATGATTTCCTTTCATTTCCTAATCTTTTCAATTCGACAATTTATTGGACCATTCTAGCCTTATGAAGAAGTGAAAGCGAAATTTTTCTCACAATATAGAAACATTATATTATTCAAATTAGTGCATTGAAAATATTCCCAAACACATTATCTCAGATACATACCATTCTTTGATTTGTTTTTTAATTTTAATTTCCCAAAGACATTTGGTACACTTTTAACTTGTACTCGAGACACAACTCACGCTTATTGATTTGTTGCGAGCCTTACATTCTGAAATAAACATTAAAGGATGTAGATAAGAGATAGGAAAGTGGCTGTCAGTATGGACATTCCCCTAGAAATAGTGCGTTAATGCATTTATCTAATTAGATACGAAATAAAAGAAAATATGGGTGATAGTGATAACTGAAGAAACTAAAGAATTATATTAGACAAAAAATACTTTACATAACAGATTCAGAAATAGAATTACTATACTTAACTTATCGTAAAAGAAGGGTGTCATTTTGAATGTTATAAATTTTTCAATAATTATTTTTCCCTTTTCAAAAAATTACCTTTTGTTTCCGAGCTTCGTATTCCCGTTTTCTAGTACACTTACATTCTCTGTTCTTGGTGTTCATCATTTTTAAAATCGATACTTTGAAAGTATGTATAAGTTACGTACAAATAATTAAAATGACATTTCTCTAATGATTTAGGTTAAATAAAAAATTTCGTTAACAATAGGTGCACCACCTTATTTATTGATTTTTAAAGCTTTTACTGTTCGACAGTACAGGACTCTGTACTATTCTGTTGAATCTGCATTTTACTCATTTTGCAGTAATTTAAAAAAGTTCTACCAAATATAAAAATGTATTAATAGAACGAATTTATCAAATATTCAAAATTAATTTTGAAATTTAAAATTTTGCATAAAATCTATATTAACTTAGTAAGAAAGCTAAAAATGAAAATTTACTATATAATTTCCTAAAACTTCTAAATGCAATCAATTATATTCGAGTTAGAGAAAATTCTAGTTAAAACCGTCAAGCTTTTCAATTTTCGTTTTCTACGTATACCGATAACTCTTGTAATTGCAGGGTAAAGATTGAGAAACTGAAATCAGGCATCATGATGACCATTGAAAATTAAAACATACAAATCTGCGTCTGATTATTCCGGAAAGAATTATTAGAAATTCATAAGTCCGCACTCTAATCTCGAGTTAGAAAAATTAGGTTAAATAGTTTGGAATAAATGTAAAACAAGGGAACGAAAAGTATTCGTGTTAGAAAGGATTTTGAGTTACAGAAGTTCGGGTTAAAGTTTCGACTGCTTTTTATCACTACATAGTATAAAACAAAGTCGCTTTCCCGCTGTCTGTCCCTATTTATGCTTAAATCTTTAAAACTACGCAACGGATTTTGATGCGGTTTTTTTAAAAGATAGAGTGATTCAAGAGGAAGGTTTATATGTATTATACATACATAATATAGTAGGGAAACACTGATAATTTTAGAGGTTTCTAATGTGATGTCGTAAATAAACACATTTTTTGCGCTTACATTGCAAACGCTTGCTGAACCCTACGAAATAGATCAAAATATGTCATTACCCACTTGGCGAGAATGATGGGAAATATTGTTAGGTGCTAAGGGCAGATGCACATTATTATATGTTTCATAAAGAGCAACTAGTTAA